CGCCAACACCCACAGCCCCACCCACGCACCCCACGCACCCCCACACCCCCACACCCTCACACCTCCACGCCCCCACGCCCTCAGACCCCCACGCCCGCGCGCCCCCGCGCCCCGCGCCCCCGCGCCCCCGCGCCCCCGCGCGCCCGCGCGCGCGCGCGCGCGCCCCCGCGCCCCCCCCCCCCCCCCCCACCACACACACACACACACACCAACAACCCCATGCCCCCACCCGCGCCCGCGCCCACATCCACGCCAACACCCACACGAACACACGCACGCACACACACACACACACTGAAAGGATGAGAAATACCCCTAGCCCTGTGCGCGCCGCCCTGGCCCCCGCTGGTCTCGCGGACCCCTGCGGGGCCCCAGGAGAGCGCCCGAGACCAAATCCAAGGCGCAGGCCAGACATCGCGGTAGCGTCGAAAGGCGGCAGCAAGATACTGAATAATAATATTGGACTCGTGGCAATATCACTCGGGCATATTCTTGATGTACACTGGCACTGTCTGGCCTGACTAGCGCGGCATGCCTTTGAACGTCAGCGGCTGCCCTGGGCGGCGCTGGCCTCGCCCTGTGCGAGGCGCCAGACAGCTGGCCAAGAAACGTTTTGAACAATGCGGCAAGTGACAGAAAATACGCGTGCTGACAGACACGCACGCATAGAAGACAGGCTGCGTGCACGAGCAAGCCCCAAACGCACTTCTGAAACTACGCCCGAGAAAGTGCATTCGCATCTCTGGGCGGCCCCCGCACCGCGCAATCAAATTCATACAGCAGTCGCGGGGTGCAGAAGCACATATGAGAAGATGCAGACATCGTAATCTACAGACAGAAACACACGCCGGCCTCCTCAAACATAACGGTGGGCAACCAACCAACCGCAGCGACACTTCAACTGCGGATCTCGAGAGACAGACTCTGGATCCAAAGTGTCATCGCCATGCTGTCACCCTAGGCCGGCACCCCTCCACATGATTGTCGCATCTGCCAATGCATCTGGCCAGAAAGATGATGTCCTCTAGCGCACTATCCCATGGACCACGTCATAAGCGTACTCGCCGTCATAATTACCCCCATGACTGCGCGCGAATATTTTGCGTAAGTCGACCACTCGAAACCAGAGGGGGCAATGCTTGGCATCGGGCTACCTTGTCCTAAAAGAGAACGTCCTGCAAACAGCTTGCACACTGCAATCGGTACGATTGTCGACATATTCACGCGCATGTGCTCTAACGCTTGCCCCAAGGCGCAACAGGTGTCAAGGGCCAGGCAGGCGCGCTGTAAACCAAACCATATCATCAGAAAAGCCGCCACGCATTGCATCATACGCCCAAGAGACGGCACATACCACCACTGAACATGGCCTGTGGTCTTTGGCGACGGCTGGGGACTGGCTCACGGGATCGCAATGGCCCGGAGGCTCTTGTCGGCCACCGCGCCTTCTTCCGCGACGCGACTGGACATGAACTCGCCAATCTGCTTGAGACCGAGGTCATTGACATCTGCTTCTTTGGCGCCGAGAGAGATAAGCTTGGCGCGCCGCTGGCGAAGCGTTTTTTTTTCCCCTGAACGGCCGCCCACCACTCAGCAAAGGGCATCTTATCAGATGCGTCCGATACCGCTCGAGCAAGGGTAACGCTCGAGGCACGCTCGCCTCCGATCCCATGGGTGGCAAGAGCCAAGTCATGGAGCTCCTTGGATATCCTTGCCAACAAATGGGGGGGGGGCTCCTCGATGGGCGCGGCCTCCGCAAACTGACGCGGCAGCTGCGGGCCACGAGGGCTGCCGCCATTCCCTGGGTGCCAGCTGGGAGGTGAGCTCATGAACTGGCGCAACTCGGATAACGTATCCTTGATGCTGTTCTGAGTCTCCTCCGCCGCCCTCCGAAGACCTCCAAGCTGCTTCCCTCGGGCGCCCACCGTGCCCGACAGACCAGCGAACTCAGCCCTCGGCGTTTTGAAGGCTGGGTGGTTTTCCAAATCAACGGGCTCATTGCTGCTGGAGTTGCCGATCAGCTCATGCAGACGCTTTGATAGAGCTGGCGGCCCGCATGTCGGACGGGCTCTTGTTGGAACAGTTCTCCAAGAGCTGCGTCGCTGCTTGCACTAGGTCCGCGGCAATCTCGGGCGTCGGCGACTGGATGCCATCCCTCCGAACTGACCCTTGCTGCCGCCGCCACCTCCGCATCCCCGCGACCTGCCTCCTTCTCCACCCCTCGGCCATGTCTGGCCGCCTATGGCGTGGGCTGGAGGTGTAGGCGGGGGGCGGAGTTGCGCCGGACTGACGAGCGCGTAGAAGCTCACTGGCTATAGCACTGGCGGCTGAAGTAGATGAGGGAAGTGGCAGAAGGCGGCGGCAAATCTGGGACGTAAGCTGGGCACAAAACCACAGGATACTGCATCGGGGTCCCAGGGGGGGATCCATGCTCCAGATCTTCTTCTTCATGGAGCACGGGTAACCTGCGCGAAGATGCACCGACACATCCACGCATTTCACGAGTACAAGGTTCTCCTGGGTGAGGCCCAAACGCTTCCATCGCCGAAGACGACCTGTAAGTTTGCAACGACGCTGTAAAACCTGCCGTCGAGTCAGAACGCCCATGCATGGAGAGATGTTGTTTTGCCCAGCGCGAAACATCCCCCGTCAACGAAAATGCCTCGTTCTTATGCATGCAACAAACCAATCAACGATTGGGAGCTACATGTACTTCCTTTTTCAAGCATGGGAAAAACACGCGGTCCATTCGAATATGCCGAGTATCAACAACATCGAAAACAACTGTTTCCCATGCGCGCCACGCTGTTGTAAGCGTAGGCGTTTGCGTCGCATAGCAGAAGACAGGAGGGGGAGATCACCCATATACCGCTTGCATAAGAGTATGCGTTGTCTGCTTTTTTCCCACGCAGCATCAGACAAGCACTCGCACTCCGAGAGCACGATATGCAAGGTGATCGGG